CGCAATGAGGGCCCAGAGCTCACACAGCATTGCAGATGTGGTCTGAGCAGGGCAGAGCAGAGGGGAGAACAGCTTGGCTGCATTCACACAGCCGGGCTCTGCTCTGGCGTCCCAGCTGCAGCTGAAATTGGGTTACAACTGGGGAGGGGGCGCGGGGCACAGCCCCCCACTCTGCAGGGCACATTTCCCCCCTGTGCAGGACACAGCTCCCCCTCTGCAGGAGCCCTGCACAGCCCAAATCCCAGCTTTGGCGCTGCCGCTCGTTATTAAGCAATAAACCCGCAATAATTGTGCGCACGTTGCAGATCAGCGAGGTTTTATTTCAATCCGCTTTATTTTGGCCGAGGCCAAGTTTACACAGAGGGCGCTGAGCAACAGGGCCATGGCTCTGCCATGCACAAACCCCATGGGGACCCTGAGGGGCAGGGACCAGGGGACAAAGCCCCATATGCAGCAGCCAACTCTGCTCCACTCTGCTGAAGGCCTCATTAACCCCTCCCAAATAACGGGGCTTTGCGGGACGCTGACAAATACCTGCAGCACCCCAAGGCCAGGCCGTGCTCTGGGGGACACCAGCTCCTCCACGCAGCTTCGGCTGAGTGAAAAAGGGAGCAGGGAGCGAAGGGCCGAGGGGAACCCATCCCAGCACCAACCCACCACGTCCTCTTGCCTCCCCAAACCTGGACCTTCCCAGCACCACTCACAACCTCACATCCCCTGTGTGGTTGCCTTAAACCCTCGGTAGGAAAGGGGCTCACCCAATGCACACGCTGTGCGTTCATCCACCGAGACCCGGTGACATTTGGAGCTGCAACCACAGCGCCCAGACGCAGACCTACCTGCACTGGCTCCTCCAGGACCCCGCTGCAGATGGGGCATATGAGGTCCTCGTCGACGTCCCCCTGAAACCGCGCTACATCATACCCCATTGCTCATCACCGGTGCCAGAGACCTGCGGAGGGAGAAGGAGCCGTGGTCAGGGGCAGCCCAGAGCCCCGGGCAGGGCAGGGCCTGGCCCCAGCAGCCTCCCCACACAGGGACACCCCCCAGCACCACCCCCTGTGGAGGGGCTGGACCCCACCGGGGACCCAGGGACTCCCTGGAGCTGTCGAGGCTCCTGATCCCAGCATGGGGGGAACCCCGGAGCAGCCCCTCAGGTACTGGGTGCTGTCCCTCCCCATCAAGGATGGCATTTCCAGTAACGCCGTTCCCCAGTACACCCCATTCACTGGTAACCCCATTCACCGGTAACTCCATTTCCCAGTAACACCATTCCCAGTAACCCCAGTTAACCAGGTCCTGGCTGCACAACGCCCCAAGGAGGCCGAGGTTGGACATGGGCACCAACCCATCCCGACCCCAAAGAGGCGATGGGGACGGCCCCGCACGCACAGCGAGAGGAACCAACCCTGGGCAAAGCAAATGCAAACCACAACAGCGGGGACGGGAGCGGAGCCAACGCTGCAACGCCACCCACAGCACAAAACAGCTGGAAAACCAGAGCACAACACACGGCAAAGCCAACGGGGCCCAGGGCCTGTGGCCGAGGTGCTCAGCTCCTCCTGGGGACGCAGCCACCGGCAGCCCCTGCCCAAGCTCCTCCACGCAGCCCATCCCTGCTGTGGAAACGCAGAAAACCAGACAGAATCCCCTACAAAATTAAACCCAAAGCGAATCCAACCCAATGAACTCGGGCTGGCTGTTTCCAGCGTCGGCTCTGCTGGTTCTCAGGGAACAGAGGCACCGTTTTCTCATCATTTCCAACGCGAGCGTTGCCAACAGATACCAGAGCCGCTCTGCAGCTGGGGCGGCGCGGAACAAACCTGCTCTGCGAGCAACGGTGGTTTCAATAATCTCCCCTAATTTCATCAGCTCCGCGAGCCAAAAGAAACAGAATTGAAACCAGAACGCACAGGGGAAGGAAAGGGAGAGCACACAACACATGGACGCCAGAGGGGCTGCTCTGCAGAGCCCAGCGTGGGAGCCAGAGCCCCAGGCACCTCCCTGCGCTCTCGCTGTGGGTGTTCTGGGCACCGCGCTCGGCTTCCCTGCGTGGGCGCAGACATCGCAGCTCCGGGGCTGCGCGGGTCCTGCTGCGCTTTTGCTGCTGCTGGGAAGTGTCCAGAGGGGAAAAAGTGACCCAGGAGCCTGAATCACAGGATCTGAGGGGTTGGAAGGGACCCCAAAAGCTCCCCCAGTGCAATCAGGATCCAGAGCAGTCACACAGGAACACCTCAGGGCTTTGGGTGTCTGCAGAGGAGACTCCACAACCTCTCTGGGCAGCCTGGGCCATGCTCTGGACCCTCACACTGACAAAGTTTGGCCTCATGTTCTCATGAACCTCCTGTGCTCCAGCTTGGGTCCATTGCCCCTTGTCCTGGCATTGGCCATCCCAGAGCAGAGCCTGGCTCCTTCCTCCTGACACTGCCCTTTCCCAATGGATCCCCAGGAATGAGGGCACCCCTCAGTCTCCTCTGCTCCAAGCTCCAGAGCCCCAGCTCCCTCAGCCGCTGCTCAGCAGGAGATGCTCCACTCAGAAGAAGTCTCAGTTCTGCAGCACGGATCTGCACCCACATCCTCCATGAACCCACGGCTGCAGCTCTCAGCTCAGACACCAGCTCTGTTCAGATCTAACAGCGAGGAAACGCTGGAGCAACGCACACTCACGGCTTTGGGAGCCAAACCAGCGCAGGGGCGGCTGCTGAAACCCCCAAGGCTCCTCCCGGGGCTGTGCATGGTGCAAGGACGTGAAGGCAGCAAGGAGCACAAGCACTGGGTTTCGTGGTCCATGGGGGGACACGGGCACCATCCCCACTGTGCCCCCCTGGCTGCTCTGAGCCCCGCAGACCCGGCCAGGCCATTCCAGGTGACCACATTTGCCACCCTGACCTGCCCCAGCCCTTCCTGCTCCTGCCCATCGCTACCCAACTTCTGGTCCGAGTTCACACCCCGCTGTCCCCTGTGTTACACTGCTCACTGGAGCCAATTTCAGACCCAGCGGGTCCAGAGTCCACGCGTGGTGCGGGCGATCCCCGGGCTCAGCAGCAGCGCGAGGGCTGCAGGGAGCGGATCCATGGCCCGGCTCTGCCTCCTCCTTCACCTCCTCCTCTGCCGTGTGCGTGGAGTGGTTTTGCCAGGAGTTCCTGTGCACACGGGGACATCCACGCAAGGAGAGGTCGTTCCCATCACCGGCTCCAGCTCCTCTGTGCAGTCACCGGTGAGGAGCAGCAGATCCGGCAAACCCATTGGCCTGCGCGTAATTAACCACCCCGCTAACGACCCCACGGAGCAGCAAAGCTCCCTCCTCAGCACAGAAATGGATCGGGTCCCCCAGCAGCGCAGCGAAACGGAGCAGGTTTGGTTGATTTACCCAACACTAACGAGCTCCCTTGCTAACGAGTTCAGTTTTGGAGCAGCGGCGCCAGGGGTGAACCCATCCCTGCTCCAAACCTGCAGCGAGAACAGACCCAAGGATCCAGGGCTGCAGCCTCCCCGGTGTCCTCAGCCCAAACCTTCCCCTGCTGAGGGGTCTGGGGTGCATGAACCAGCTGTGATCCACCAGATTTGGCGCACGCTGCGTTGATCCAAGAGGCCGCAGGCAAAACTCACAGAAATATTACTCATTAGCTGCTAATTAAAAAGCCAAGAGCGTTGAGAGGACAACCCCAAGCGCTCTCCCCATCAAGGTTCTTCCTTGCTCGACACCGGCTCAGCCCAGAGAGCTGAGCTTCCCAAAGGGCAGAAAGACACCAAGATCTACAGAGTCAAAGGAAGCTCCTGCCCCAGCACACGCAGCCAAAGGAGATCAAAAGGGAAGCAGGGTCAAACAACCCTTCCCCTCCTATAATGGGAGGAAAACACCACCCGAGAGGCCCTGGATCCCGTCTCGGGACAAACAAGGCACGGAGGAGCTCCCATTGCTCAGCCCAGGGCTCTGCCACCCAGCAAGGCCCCTCCTCACCCTGGGAATGGTTTGGGATCGCCCAGGAGCACCCACAGAGCCCATGTCCGGCGCTGGCAGCGCCTCAGAGCCCCACAGCATGGAACAACACTCCCAGAGCTGGAAAAACCCCGGCAGCGTGGTCCAGAGGGGTTCCAAACTCATCCGTTTCTGTGCTTTTAATGCGTGCAAGGGATTCAAGCAAAAGAGGCTGGGAAATCAAAGGAAAACCATTGGCACAAGGCAGCTTTTACCCATCCCATGCCCAATTCCATGGATGGGGAACCTCTTTAGGGCCATGGGTGAGCAGAAACAGCAGCCCCAAGCCCAGCTCCGCTCCCTGGAGCCCGTGAGGAACACGGGAAGGTCCCGGGGCTGCAGCACGGCCCCAGTCCTGGGAAATGTGGGGTCAGGAGTCGCAGCCGACCCCGGCTCCGGGACGGCCGTGGGCTCCTGCGGGCAGAACGAAACCCCACGTTGTGGAGCGCATGGAGTGACCCTGACCCGCAGCTGCGGAGCTGCCCGCCCGGCTCCTGCGCTTCCCTGTGTGCTTTGTTCAGAGCAAGCCCCGGTGCAGCTCAGGAATTGGATCCGGGAGCCCCAGCGCCTGCCTTTCTCCTCCAGAGACGCAGAGATCAGGCAGGGGCAGTTTTTAACCAGTTTGGCAGGACTTGCTTTAAACCTCAGAAATTCAGGGAAGATCTGGCTGGCTCCCTGCAGACATTCACCCACAGCAAAGGCTCTTGACGGGCTTCACGGCTTCCAAACGGCGACGGAGAGAGGGAAACGCGCTGGGGCCAGAGCAGGCAGGCGCCAGCACGGCGCTGTCAGCTGCAGGGGGACTGTCAGGACAGAGCCTTTCCTCGATAACAGAGCAAACCCAGCGCTTCCAGATAAGCGTGGCTCCAGATTTAGCAGCGGGAGCCGACCAAAAGCCCTGAACGCGTCCATAAAGCGGCGCTCGGCGAAGCCGCTGCGACCGTTCGCACGTCGGAGGCTCCACGTCCACGGAGGAAGGACCTCAAGTCAACCCCTCCGCACAGATAGGGAATGCTGAGCAGCGATTTACCTCCCTAAGCAGCAAAGGGTGGGCTCTGCTCAGGGAGGCTCTCCCCACAGCCCAATCTTTTCCTCTTTCTCTTCTATAATTTAAAAAGCCGCTCCACCAGGGCCGGCGGCCGCCACGGGGTCACACAGGACAGACCCGGTCACGGGGGAAAAGGGAAGGAAAGACGAGCACGGGGAACGCGGCGGCACCAGGCCGTGCCCTTCGCCCCGCTGCGGTCACCTCTGCTCCTCCACCCGCGAGCCCAGGCCCTCGGCCCCGCAGAGGAGGAACCAGCACTTCCCAAAAGGGCCCTCACAACTCCCCCAGAAAGCAGAACCCCCCGTGCAGAAACCAGCGAGCGCTGCAACGCGGAGCAACCCTAACATCTCAGAGAGCTCCTCACCTCGCCTTTAAACCGCATTAACAATCCCCCTGCCTCGCCTCGATGTGGGTTTCAATGGGAAGGACGAGGGTCCCTCTGAGCCCCCGGATCACCCGCACACACCGGTGCCTCCCCACGGCCTAAACACCGGAGCCCCCCCATGGATCTGGCTTCGGGAATTTCATCCCACGGCTGGGAACGGCGTCTCCAGGGGTCACTGCCGGAGCGCGCCCAGCGCAGGGAAGGAAACCTCTGCCCAGTGGGTACGGCCTCGGCTTCGCAGTTACGCAATCCCGCTAAAAATAGGTTCCCCAAATGCCACCTTCTGCCACAAACCCCAGTTTTTTCTCGCAACTCCTCTGCTCGCCCGAGCGCTGTGAAACCCGACAGCAGGGAAGCCCGAATTGGA